AGCTAACATGCTTCTCTGCATAGAGAACCCCAGAGATTGCAAACACACACTATTATTAGAACTGATAAATTCAGCAAAATAGATACACAATATTCTGAAATGGGTTGCATTTTTGTTTGAACTATCAGGAAGAGAAATTAAGAAGCAGACTTAATTCTAGTTACAAAATGTCAATTGTAGTTATAGACTGTAGGGGTGTCGAACTCAATCAGAGAAGGGGCCAAAATCTAAAATCCAGCCTAAATTGTGGGCCGAATGGTTTACTGAACAGTCATAAACTGTCATTGTGATGGAAACGCAGCAGAGTGCAGTGATGACAGCGCAGTGCGGGCCACATTGCAAGGCCTGGTGGGACGGATTTGGCCCGCGGGCCTTGTGTTTGACACATGTGTTATAGAGCATAGGGTGGCATGACCTAACAGTAGTTTTGGAGAAATCTAAGGGTTGCTAATTGACTGTATTTAAACCAGGAGTGGGGAATGTCTTGCTTGCAGTCCACATAAGGCCCAAAAAAATCATTTGATCTGGCCCTGCCATAGCAACCGCAGGTGAAATTAGAAATTCAATAAATCGGGGAGAATCCAAGATGGCGGCATAGGTAACACCTAACTGCAGTCTCACACAACAATTTCAATAAAATATAACTAAAATACAAAATGGACATTACCCAGAACTACAGGACAGTCGACTGACTGGAAATTCTACAACAAGAACGAAAGAGAAAACCAGAAGGAAAATCAGAAGAGCTGTAAAAGCCAAGGTACTGAGACACATTGCGCGCGTAGAGAGGACGGAGCCAGAGAGGAGGGGGAGGCTGAGTGCCTGGCTGGTGTTCCCTAGTGGGAAGGAGATAAAAGCTCCGGACTGTGCTGAACCCCAGATCCGACAGCACTGACCCCAGTTCTAGGCCTGACCCTGGGGACATAGGCTCATACAGAAGGAGCCTGGGCTGTTAGGCGGAATCTCAGGGGAGCGGCGAAAGGCAGAGCCCCCGGAGGCGCACACATTGCGCGCAGAGGACAGACCTTTGACTCTGCTGCTAGATTGCCCTAGTGGGAAGGAGACAAAAGCTCCGGACTGTGTTGAGCCCCAGTTCCTACTGCACTGAACCCCAGATCTAGGGCAGACCCTGGGGACCCAGGCTCATACAGAGGGAGCTTGGGCTGTAAGGCGGAAACCCAGGGGAGCGGTGAAAGGAAGTCCCGGAGGCATGCACATTGCCACTGAATTGCCCTAGCAGGAAGGAGACAAAAGCTCCAAACTGCTCTGAACTCCAGTTCCAATTGAACTGAACCCCAGTTCCGGGCTCTTTGGAGGTGAGCCTAGACTGGTAGCAGGCGAAACTCGAGAGCACCTTTCTCTCAGAGGTGCTTGCAATGAGTACTGAAGGACACTGAGGAATACTGAGACTTAGGAGCCTCATAGGGTGTGGCTAACGGAAGCCAAGGCTGTAGGCTCCACCCTGAAACTCCGCCCCATCCAAGCTGAACACAAGAACTTTTAAGGCTACCAACTCAGGGAAGCTGCGAAAATGCCAAGACAAGGAAACAGATCACAAACGAAAGAAATGGAGGACAAAAGCGACTGGATATAGAGTTCAAAACCATACTTAAAAGGTTTTTCAAGAATTTCCTTGAAAAGGCCAATAAGACCTATGAGGACATGAAAAGGAATTAACAAAAAATAAGGGATCAACAAGAAATAATAAGGGATCAACAAGAAATAAAGAAAACATTCTCTGAAATAAAAAATTATGAACAACAGATACATAACTATCAACAAGTGAATCTAAAAACCAAGGGAATTAAAAAACCTGATGAACAATATTAACTTGAATATAATAGAATCAGAGACTTGTTTTATTAATGAAAAAAATTGAGCTAACATTTGAAATGACATGATTACTGGTGGAGCTCCAGCTATGGTTGGCTTGCAAAAGCGTTATAATTGTGCATTTATCAAGTTATACAACTTTTTTTTTTTTTTTTTTTTTTTTTTTTTTTTTACTGATCTTAGCCTGCTTAATAAGTGTTATCAAAATAATTTTCTAGTCTGGCCAGTTATTTCTTATAAGGTTATTCAGTGTGATTCAGTGGATTGAGCATTGTCTCATGCACCAAGTGGTCACTGGTTCAATTCCTGGTTATGGCACATGCCCAGGTTGCCGGCTCAATCCCCAGTATGGGTCTTACAGGAGACAACTGATTGGTGTTTCTCCCTCCCTCCTCCTTCCCCCTTACTCTCTAAAATAATTTTCTATATTATGATTTGTGGTGGGATATTGACAAAAATATTAGAATAAAACATATTTCCTAACTTGAAATTTCTCCAAATATTGAAGACTGCATTCAGTCTTTATTACTTACTGAATATATATGGTCTTTGAGAATAGTATCAGAGTTATATTGAAAAACAATAGAGAAGTCATTATATATAAATTGTTTTTAATGAAATTACTTTTCTGGTTCTAAATCTGTTAAATATCTACACTAATAAAAGAAATATGCAAGTAGTTGACCATACCACTATGGCACCCACCAGCCAATCAGGCATGAGTATGCAAATTAACCCAACAAAGATGGTGGGTTAATTTGCATACATGGAGTGGCGGGGCCGAACGCCTGCTATCGGGGGAAGGGGGAGGAGGAGCTACAGAAGCAAAGCGAAGATGGAAGGTGGCGGTGGCCAGAGCAAAGGCCTGGGTCCCGGGTGCTGGAGGAAAACTGGAGCCAGCAGCCAGGGGAAGGAAAGCCTATGCATGAACCTTCATGTAATTGGCCTCTAGTTCTGTTATAATTTCACAGAATATTTACTTTATAGTATAAGCACTACTACTGCTCAGAAACTCCTTTCAAGTAAATTTGTAGTTGGATACAGGATCCTTTAAGTAGACAAAAACCATAACATAGCCCTAGCTGGTTTGGCTCAGTGGATAGAGCGTCAGTCTGCAGACTGAAGGGTCCCAGGTTCGATTCTGGCCAAGGACACATGCCCAGGTTGTGGGCTCGACCCTCAGTAGGGGGCGTGCAGGAGGCAGTCGATCAGTGATTTTCTCTCATCATTGATGTTTCTATCTCTCTATCCCTCTCCCTTCCTCTCTGAAATCAATAAAGAATATTTTAAAAAAGAAAGGTCCTGGGTTGAATTCCACTCAAGGGCACATGCCTGGGTTTCTGGCTCAATCCCCAGTGGAGGGCATGCAGAAGGCAGCCAATCAGTGATTCTTTCTCGTCATTGATGTTTCTATCTCTCCCTCTCCCTCTCTGAAATCAATAAAAATAGATTTTTTAAAACCACAATATATTATTGAAGAATTCGGAGATAATCACCTATAAAAATATTTTTACAATACATACTAATACATGTTTAGAGTGGATTTAATCCACAGAACATTCAAAAGTTATGTGGTATATGGAGTAGTTTCTGATAGCCCATAGAATATATTTTAACAATAATGTTACTTTTGCCGAGACCGGTTTGGCTCAATGGATAGAGCGTCGGCTTGGGGACTGAAGGGTCCCGGGTTCGATTCCGGTCAAGGGCATGTACCTTGGTTGCGGGCATATCCCCAGTAGGGGGTGTGCAAGAGGCAGCTGATCGATGACTCTCACATCGATGTTTCTAACTCTATCTCTCTTCCTCTCTGTACAAAATCAATAAAATAAAATAAAATAAAAAGAAGAATGTTACTTTTTTTCCTCATGTCTCTATAAATAGTGGTTTTTGTTTTGTGTTATGTTTTTGGACCTTTTACCATTTTTTCATGTCTGGTTCAACCAGAAATTTTTACAATTTGTCAGCTTCTGTTGTCTTACCAGCAATCATATGTCATTTCATTGAGCAAGTAGTACAACATGACTACATACCTAAAGATGAAAAATTTACTAGTTTCAGTAATCTAACCACTAAACCGTACACCGAAATCAATACATAATATAAATAAATACATAAATAAATGAAAAAAAAGTTTTCAAGGATAAGTTAATTTGTGTTTTATTTTTTATTTTTTTTAATATATTTTATTGATTTTTTACAGAGAGGAATTGAGATAGAGAGATAGAAACGTCGATGAGAGAGAAACATCAACCAGCTGCCTCTTGCACACCCCCTACCGAGGATGTGCCCGCAACCAAGGTACATGCCCTTGACGAGAATCGAACCTGGGACCCTTCAGTCTGCAGACTGATGCTCTACCACTGAGCCAAACCAGCTTCGGCAATTTGTGTTTTAAGCAGCCAAATTTTATGTCTGATAGTGCCCAAAAGAATTTTTACCCTTTATTGTCCTTTGTGTAAGTGTCTTTCATAGTCAGGATTTAGTGTTTAAAAAAAAGCGATACACTGTCAGTAGGAAGATAATTATATGATATTGGTTACTTTATTTTTTTACCATTTAGTTAATTGTGGTTTGAAGTCTTTCTGTTATGTGACATATGCTTATTAAATTTTATAAGCCAATTACTATTATCCTGTTTTGTCAGTTGGCTGCTATTTCACCTAGAATAAAGTGTAAAACTTTTTTTATACTAGTAAGCACTGATTTCTAACTATTTTGGCTACCATTTTTGTTTTCATCAAAATAGGGCAAGTCTCTTGTTTTTAAAGCATTTGTAATGAGTTTGGATTTATCTTTAGGGTGTGTAGGAAATGCTGTTATGTTAAAGTCACAAACCCTTGTGACTTTACACGCAAAAAAGTATGTAGCACACTATCAACGTTTAAAATAATAGATTTGCTTTGTATATTTTAAAATCTTAGTTACTCCTTACATGTACTACATCGCTGTTCTTTAGTGAAATAGGTATTTATAATGTCTTTTCATTGTGGTGCTACACTAGAACTTGTCATATCCTCTACTTAGTGGATAAGTGGTTATTTGCAAAATAGATTCTTTGTTAAAACAAAAATGAATGAAGTTAGAAATATTTTGTATTACAATAACTATCTCATTCAATTTTTTTAAAAATAACAGTAATTTCTGTGTATTTATGTACTTTTTAGAAAGAATCTTCAAGGGGGAGACATAGAGAAAAGGAAGACATAAAAATCACCAAGGAAAGAACTCCAGAAAGTGAAGAAGAAAATGTAGAGTGGGAGACTAATAGAGATGGTGAGTTTCAAAAATCTTTGTTTATATAGTAGTCAATTTATTGATTATTCACTTTACAGACACTTTTTGTCGTTTGTCGGCTTCAGCCCAGCTGCCCTTCAGTAGATGAGTAGGTTCAAAACACTTTTCAACTGTGATCTCCCTATCTGTAGAAAATGGCATATAATTGAAAAACAAAGGCAGAAAAAGCTGTTCACACTGCATTTTTCAACTTCCCCTTCCTTTTTTTCTTCTTAGAACTTATTGTGCACCATCACAGTCCTTTGGAATTTTATTACATTTGTTGATTTTCTGTTCCTCAACATTAGGGTTAAAAATTAAATCTAAATTTATATTTGTTATTTTTCATAAAATATTAAAAGATTTAAAATTTTTAAAGACCTGGGAAAATTATTTAAAGGTATTGTTGACTTTCATTTTTCAAAAGAGATCCAAATCCAATAATAAGCGTGATCTGGGATTTTTTTCATGAAAAATTAGCAAAATCATCTTTGAGTCATTGACTTAACAAATAAGGATTTACTTTCCGTACCACAAATGTTCACTTTTTTTTTCTTTTTTCTTTCTTTTTTTTTTTTTTTTTTTAATATATTTCATTGACAGAGAGAGGAAGGGAGAGGAATAGAGAGTCAGAAACATCAATGAGAGAGAAACATCTATTAGCTGCCTCCTGCACACCTCCCACTGGGGATGTGCCTGCAAACAAAGTACATGCCTTGACCTAAATCAAACCTGGAATCTTTCACTTTGCAGGCCGAAGCTCTATCCACTGAACCAAATCGGATAGAGCACAAATGTTCACTTTTATGATCTTCTTAGAGATATAGATATAGAGAAAGAGAATTCATTTGTTGAATGTGTTGGGTGTGCTAGGCATTTTAATATAATTTATATAATTTTCTCAATTCAATAGCTTTGCTATTTCTTATACATAACTAAAGAGTTTAAGAACTTAAGCAACTTCTCAGCATAAGCTTAAAACTTAGACCAGGGGTTATAAAATTAAAATTGTGGACCAGGCACCTCTCTGCAAAAAAAAACTTGATTGGAACAAAGCCATACCCATTGGGTTACATATTTTTTGTAGCTGTTTTTGAGCTCCCATGAATGAATTGAATCTTTGTGGAAAGCCAAGAGCCTGCAAGCCTAAAATATTTACGCCTATAATTAAGAACAATCTCTGAAAACTTACCTAGTCTAATACTTGAATTGTACCCTAAATGCTTCTCCAGTAATTTGAATATCAGTACTTTTTAAGGGAATTTATTCCATCTTTGAACAGCATTATCTGTTGAAGAGTGCTTCTAAGAGCAAACAGGAAACTCTCCTATGATTAGTTCATTGGGATTTCATAAGCCAAACTAATATCGCTTATAAAATATAGTGTGTATCCTCCAAAATGTATACATACTTTAACAACTGATAGCTCAATTTTGAAAATGAAATGTATTTTAATAAACACTTCCTTTGTAATTATTCAAAATGTATGAATAAATTTTGGGGAGACACCCTGTAGTTGTAAAGGCAGCTATAATGTTCCATTGTGTTTTACCAATCTGTATATATAAAGAGGTAATATGCAAGTTAGGCCGGGTCGCTGCAACATCACAACCAGCTCAGGAGGAGGGGCTCCAAGGGAATAACACAGGGTGGCCCACACCCAGCCCTGGAGCCGGATAGAACAACATCCAGGGGGGCTGGAGTGGAGACACAAACCCGCAGGAGGACCAGGCCAAGCCAAGCTGTCTGGCAGTCCCAGGGCAAAGAGGCCAAGCTACGCCGCCTGGCGGTCCTGGGCAAAGAAGCTGCTCCGCTGACCAGCCTGGGCTAAGGACCTGTTCAGCGCATTGCACTAAGTCCAGGACCTCTTTCCTGCAGCCACAGGAAGTTTCCCTCTCCCCAGAGCTAGAAGCACCAGCTCAGGTCCACCCATCAGCCCTGTCCTGACTGTGTGGGTAAGTTCCTGCAGGCTGGGGTTTGATCCCCACCCATTAACAGTAGGAGACCAGTGCCTTTGTCATTGCTGTGTGTCTGGGTTTTAATAGGACAAATGCCCGGTAGTCCCGGGGGAAGAAGCTACCCGGCGGTCTTTGGCAAAAAAGCCGCCCATTTCCCGGGCGCAGCTTAGCAAAATCTTTCAGGAGGAGAATTGTCAAGGCTTCCCCAAATTCCCTCAGCCCCTACCCACCCCTCTGTAAAGGCAAAGAACAAATGAGGCCTCTTAAATAAAAGTCAGAGGTCTCCAGCAACGTGGGCCTATCTCATCACTGTCATTTGGACTGGATGGCATTTGAGTATTTGCACCATGTCAGAGAAACAAGTCATGATCTCTGCCCTTAACTAATTCATAATCTTATTAGAGCATGAAGTCTAATCATGATCTCTGCCCTTAACTAATTCATAATCTTATTAGAGCAAGTGGGTGATAAAAGCCCAGTAATGACATCAGAATGTAAGGCAACAATAGAGAGAGGAACAGAGGTAATTGCTAGGGTGATTTTCCAACAATTAGTACAAAGAGTATGTGCTGTGAATTAAATTTTTTTAAAAAAGTGTGAATGTAGCTGCTTCATGAGTATGGCATCCCTTCCTATTTTAAAGGAAGCTGAGTTCCATGTCAACTGTGTATTATGTTATGAGTTCTGAGACACAGGACAAGGGAGGCCCTAAGTGTACTATGCTTTGATATTTGAGTCATTCTTTATTGTTCAATGTTATTTATTTCTGTAAACCTCAGTTTTGTAGTAAATTATTAGAATAATACATCTTGCTATAAAATATTACTAGATCAAATGATCAGGTCACATTTTCTATAAATGAACACAATCTCTGGTATGCTAAAGTGATAGGTTATTATAGAAATAGTGAGACCTAAAGGCTTGATTACAAGTGAGGCTTCCTATAACAACCCACATTTATTGCTTAAAAAAAAAAAAAAAAAAAAAAAAAAAAAAAGCAGGGAGCCAACTATAAACCGAACCAAATATAAGCCCTTGAAAGGCAAATGTAAATTGGATAAGCTTCACTATTACAAGAGCAACAAGAAAAAATTCAGACGCAAGAATGAGAAACACATTGCATCAACTCTTAAGTTGCTGCTAAAGAAAAAGAATGGTATACTATGAAAACAATATAGATTGTAAAGAAATTTGTTCAAAAAGAATTTCCTAGAGTATGTGGTATTTCAATTAATTTTTTTTTTTTTTAATGTGAAGAGTTTAGCTAGATAAGAAAAAGCGTAGGGATCCCCAATTGCAGAGGGTGCAGGCTGGGCTGAGACCCCACTGCATGCACGAATATTGTTGAAAATAAAATATTGGAAACTTTGACTCTTCAAAATTAGATATCTAACTTTTCTGGAATAATACGGAATTAACTCAACATACCCAACATTCTTTTATTATTATTATTATTTGTTTTGGGATTTAAATTTTTCTGAAATTTCTTAAAAACTTCCTATCTTTTTATTTTTTATTTTTTAATATTTTATTGATTTTATACAGAGAGGAAGGGAGAGAGATAGAGAGTTAGAAACATCGATGAGAGAGTCATCGATCAGCTGCCTCTTGTACACCCCCTACCGGGGATATGCCCGCAACCAAGGTACATGCCCTTGACCGGAATCGAACCCGGGACCCTTCAGTCCCCAAGCCGACGCTCTATCCATTGAGCCAAACCGGTCCCGGCAAAAAACTTCCTATCTTTAAAAGTAAGTTTCTCTATTACAATAATGCATACATTTTATTGAAAATTTAAAAGGTACAGAAGAACTTGTCATTTTTCTCCATGTTTTCATAGTACCTATTTCAGAAACTTATCCTTAAAAATTTCTAATCCCTTTATTTGTCCTGCTTGATGTTTACTGCACAAAACTGAGAGAACTTTTCATCCACAAGCTCCCTCAACTTCCTGCCAGTAAACACTATAAACCACTTTTTTACGTACACCTAAACTTTATTTCCCTTTTGTTCTGTGTTGGGTTGCAGGAAGAGACTGAACATAAACTGTGTACCTATAGATGAGGTTAATGGTGGGTGTGGAAAGGTCAGAGGGTGAGGTGGGAACCTGGTATAGGGGAGCAATGGAGGGGGGAAAAAAATGAGGAACATTTGTAATAATAGGAACAATAACAATTCATTTAAAATTTAAAAAAACAAAAACAAAAAAAGAAGCATGAGCACCCCAATTCCACCAAGCATGTGAGAAGTCCATAGGTAGTGGAGAGGTCCTGGAAGACAACATGCAATGTGGAAATGGAAAGACACCAAGGTGGCAGATGTGAGTGAAGAAAAAGACCATCTTGGAAGTTGAATCCTTACCATCTACCCCAGCTGATGTTTCATAGATCAGAAACAGCACCAAAAGACAAAGCTTTCTGGGATTTCTGATCCACAGAAGTTGGGGAGGCAGAGATATAATGGTGGTTCTATACCACTAAATTTTGACATGTATTGTTATATTTCTGTCCAAAATAGGGATTTTGTTAAATTTCTGTCATTTAGTAATCCAGTAAATAAAGTTCTTCATCCACCTCTATAATACTATTTAAAAAAAAAAAAAAAAAGATGACTACTTTTATGGTGATTTCACTTACAAAGTATTCACATGGCTATTTATGTTTTCTCTTGATTGAAACCTGCACATTTTGAAAATAGTGTGACTTTATGATTTACAGTTATCTGGTTGAAAAAACATTGAATCATGGATTTATACAGTCATGCCTGTCCCCAGATAGTGACACTGAACTGGTTTATAGACTTATCATTCCTTCTGCATTTTCAAAAGTGAATAGCAATTTTAGCTAAGTGTAAGAGAAATTGGTCTGTACTGGTATGTCTAAAAACATACATTCTTTTTAAGGATCCCCCCATATTAGAAATTGAATATGAGAAATTTTTAAAATATTTACTCATTAATTCATTTTATAATAACAGTAATAAACCCAACATAAAATTATATGGAAAATAACTGTGCTTTGCAAAACAAAAATAAAATTTGTG